CAAAATGACAATTCTGGGTGTGGAGCCATGTTATGAGCTGAATTGTTCCAAACCCCCCAAATGAATGTGTTGAAAGCCTAACCCCTAAGGTAACTGTATTTGAAGATAGGGCCTTTAAGGAGGTAGTTAAGGTTAAATGAGGCTATAAAAGTAGGGCCTCAATTCAGTAGTGCTGTTGTCCCTAGAAGAAGATAAATGAGTACTCAGCGTCTAGGCAAATAGAGGAAAGGCCATGAGAGCACACAGTGAGAAGATGGCCATCTGCAAGCCAAGAAGAAGAGAGGCCTCCAGAGAAACCAAACCTGCCAATACCTTCATCTTGCACTTCTAGCATTAGAACTGTAAGAAAATAAACTTCTGTTATACAAGCCACCCAGTCTGTGGTATTTGTAATGGCAACCCTAGCAGGCTAGGACAAGAGGGGTCCCGTGGATAACTCCCATGTGCTCACAAATGACCATGTTTTCCTCCTTTAGCCTACACACGATTCTTTACTGTCATAGTCCCAAGGTATGGCTGGTATGCATTTGTGTGAACATTTGAGAGCAGCTACTACTCCTGTCTTGTCCTCTGGTGTCCCCACATTGTCTGTTTGAATCCCAAACTTTGGAGGCTACTGTGATGACCTGGGCTGTTTCTTTAGCAGTCACTCAGCTGATACGAAAAAAAAAAAAAATCTTCTAACTTATGGGCTACACTTTGTCCCAGCCTACAGTGAGGCTTCCTGGTGCTCTCAGTTTATTTGTTTGAGACATTCTGAAGACAGCAGTTTTTATTTGTTTTTTAAATTAATTATAGTCCACCTTTCCCTTGAAGTATGCTTCCAAAGTCTGAATAAAACTGGAATTTTCCAACTTAAGATTCATCTTAGCTTAATATTACAACTAAGCAAAATACCAATCCAAAGCATAGAAAAATATTGCAAGTCTTTATTGAAATTTCCTGATAAACAAATGAAAACAAAGGAGGAAAACTGCATCACAAAATGTACAACAAAACTTCTAAGATTCTATTTTATTCACCTGTGTCTCAGAGTTCAATACAGTGTGGCAAGTACCCTGTCCAGAAAAGAGTTAACATAGCAGGCCTGAGACTGCTATCCTTATAAAGGCCTGCATGCAAAGTTGACTGATGTCTATAACCTTGGAGTTAGAGAGTTCTCACCACTGTAATTGATAAGAATTGCTAACTATGCCTAAAGTGTTTGCATAAACGATGAGGTTTACATTGAACACCTGCTTTCCTTCTGGGAGTCTAGAATTTTGTTATGTGCCTGGTAGAGGGTGCCTATGTGACAAGCTACCAGTAAAATCCCTGGACACCAAATATCTAATGAGCTTCCCTGGTAAATAACATTTTACACATATTATTACAATTTGTTGCTGGAGGACTTGAGTGCAATCTATGTGACTCCACTCAGAGAAAACTCCTGAAAGCTTATACCTGGTTTCCTCTAGACTTGTCCCCATATGCCTTTATTTTTTGCTGATTTTGCTTTGTATCTATTAACTATAAAAAATCATAGCTGTGAGTACAACTGTTTGCTGAGTCCTCTGAATCCTCCTAGTGAATCATGGAACCTAGGTGTGGTCTTGGGGACCCCTGACACATGTTCCAATCACTCTTTTCTCATTTTTCTGTTAAAATTCTAGCTATGCCTTTCCAATGCTACAGGACTTAGAAAATATAAATCAATTATATGAAAATATACATAGAAAATAGGAAATATGAATCAATTTATATTTGACATTAGCAAAAATGATAGAGTAGTGAACTCCAAACTATTTTCTCTCACAAAGCAATGACTAAGCTAGCAAAAACTGTCAACATCAATTTTTTAGGTCTCTGAAATCTAATCAAAAAGTTGCCACAACCAGAGAAATGCCTAATAAATAAATAATAGTTTGATTTCAGTAAAAGAGCTCTGTTTTATTTTACTAGGCTTGCTACCATCCTGTACTTCCTAGTACCATCCTGTACAGTCTTGAAGATGGCAGATTGCATTGCTACTATAGGTTGCTGATACCAGGAAGTGCAATATGGGATAAACTCAAGGAGATTCATATTGAGCCAAATCTTCAAAAGCCAAAATAAAATAAAATCTTGAAAGCAGAAACAGAAAAAAACAATTTGTCATGTACAAGGACACCAAAATAAGATTAACAGCCAATTTCTCATCAGGAAATATGAAAGCTAGAAAGCAGTGGGAGGCTATATTAAAATGTAAACCAAGACTCCTATATCTGAGAAAATTACCCCTCAAAAATGAAAGAGAAGTTAAGACATTCCCAGGTAAACAAAAACTGAAAGAGTTCATTGCTATTAGTCCTTGCTAATGAGAAATGCTAAAGGAATTTTCTCAGACTGAAATGAAAGGACACTAGACAGCGACCCAACATCATATGAAGTAAATAACAGTAAAGGTACACATTGGTAAATATAAAAGCCGTTATTATATTTTGGATTTGTAATACCTCTTTCTATGTGATTTAAAAGATAAATGAATAAAACAATAATTATGAAGCTACATTAATAGATTCATAGTGTGTAAAGATGTAATTTGTTATGGTAACAACACGAGGGCAGAACACAGATATATTGGAGAAAAGTTTTTCTATCAGGCATACCTCAAATATATTGCAGGTTTGGTTTCAGACCGCTGCAGTGAAGCAAATATAATAAAGCGAGTTGTGCAATTATTTTTTGGTTTTCTGGTTCATTTGAAAGTTATGCTTACACTGTAGTCAATCAAGTGTACAACAGCAGTATATCTAAAAAACAATATGTATACTTCATTTTAAAATACTTTATTGTTAAAAAATGCTAGCAATCATCTGAGACTTCAGCTAGTTATAATATTTTGCTGGTTGAGGGTCTTGCCTCAATGTTGATGGCTGCTGACTAATCACTAAACAGGATGGTGGTTGCTGAAGGTTGTGGGGGTGGCTGTGGCAATTTCTTAAAATAAGACAATAATATTCCTGCATCAATTGACTCTTCCTTTCATGGAAGAATTCATGAGATGCTGTTTGATAGCATTTTACCCACAGTAGAACTTTTTTCAAAATCAGAGCCGATCCTCTCAAACCCTGCCACTGCTTTATCAACTAAGTTTATGTAATGTTGTAAATACTTCCTTGTCATTTCAATAATGACAACAAATAATTCATACCATCTTCACCAGGAATAGATTCCACTGAAGAAATTACTTTCTTTGTTCATCCATAAGAAGCAATTCCTGATCAATTCAACTTTTATTATAAGATTGTAGCAGTTCTGTTAAATCCTCAGGCTCTATTTTAATTCTAGTTCTCCTGCTATTTCTATCATCTTCAATTACTTCCTCCACTGAAGTCTTGAACCCCTCAAAGTCATCCAATAAGGTTGTAATCAACTTCTCCTAAATGCCTGTCAGTGTTGATATTTTGACCTCCCCCTGTAAATCATGGTTTTGTTTTCGTTTTTGTTTTTTTGAGATGGAGTTTCACTCTTGTCACCCAGGCTAGAGGGCAATGGTATAATCTTGGTTTGTTGCAACCTCCACCTCCCGGGTTCAAGCAATTCTCCTGCCTCAGTCTCCCAAGTAGCTGGGAATTACAGATGCCTGCCACCACGCCTGGCTAAATTTTGTATTTTTAGTAGAGATGGGGTGTCACCATGTTGACCAAGCTGGTCTTGAACTCCTGACCTCAGGTGATCTACCTGCCTTGGCCTGCCAAAGTGTTGGGACTACAGGCATGAGCCACTGTGCCTGGCCAATTACAACTTTCTTAATGACATCTAGAATGGTGAAGCCTTTCCAGAAGGTTTTCAGTTTACTTTGCCCATTTCCACCAGAAAAATCACTGAGTGGCAGCTACAGGCTTATTAAACGTATTTCTTAAATAATAAGACTTCAAAGTAGAAATTACTCCTTTATCCATGGGCTGCCAAATGGATATTGTGTTAGCCAGCATGAAAACAACATTAATCTTCTTGTACATCTCTGTCAGAGCTCCTGGGTGACCAGGGGCATTGTCAATAAACAGTAATATTTTGAAAGGAATCTCTTTTTCTAAACAGTAGGCCTCAGCCATGGGCTTATAATATTCAGTAAACCATGCTGTAAAAAGATGTGCTGTCATCCAGGCTTTGCCATTTCATTTAGAGAGCACAGGCAACATAGATTTTGCATAATTCTTAAGGGCCCTGGGATTTTCAGAATGGTAAACAATATTGGCTTTAACTTAGTCACCAGCTGCATTAGTCCCTAATAAGAGAGTCAGCCTGTCCTTTGAATCTTTGAAGCCAGGCATTGACTTCCCCTTGCTAGCTATGAAAGCTTGAGATGATGTCTTCTTGCAATAGACGGCTGTTTCACCTGCATTGAAAATAGGTTGTCTAGTGTAGCCACTTTCATTAATTATCTTAGCTGGATCTTCTGGATAATTTGCTGTAGCTTCTACATCAGCACTTGCTGCATCCATCTTGCACTTTTATGTTACAGAGATGGCTTTTTTCCCTAAACCTCATAAACCAACCTTTTCTAGCTTCAAACTTCTCTTCTGAGGCTTCCCTCTCTCAGCCTCCATAGACTTGAAAAGAGGCCTTGCTGTGGATTAGGCTTTGGCTGAATGGAATATTGTGGCTAGTTCGATCTTCTATCCAGACTACTAAAATTTTCTTCAATACAAGCAATAAGGCTAATTTACTTTCTTATTTGTGTATTTACTAGACTAACACTTTTAATTTCCTTCAAGAACTTTTTCTTTGCCTTCACGACCTGGCTAACTATTTGGCACAAGAAGCCTATCTCAGCTTTCAATATATTTTCCTCACTAAGCCTAATCATTTCTAGGTTTTTGATTTAAAGTGAGAGACATGTGACTCTTCTTTTCACTTGAATACTGAGAGGCTATTGTAGGCTTATTAATTAGCCTAATTTTAATGTTGTTCTATCTCAGCAAATAGGGATGCCTAAGGAGAGGGAGAGAGATGGAGAAATTGGCCAGTCAGTGGAGCAGTCGGTACATATTCAACATTTATTAAGTTTGCTGTTTTATATGAGCATGTTTTGTACACCCCAAAACAATTACAATAGTAACATCAACAATCACTGATCACAGACCACCATAACAGATATGATAATAATCAAAAGTTTGAAATATTGTGAGAATTACTAAAATGTGACTCAGAAACATGAAGTGAGTACATACTGTTGGAAAATGGCACCAATATATTGCTTGATACAGGATTGCTACAAACCTTCAATTTGAAAACTACAATATCTGCAAAGCATAGTAAAGCAAAGCACAATGTAACAAGGTATGCCTGTACTATTGAGTTGCTATTAATTTAAACTAGGTTATTATAGGTTAATATTATAATTGTATTCCCTAGAGTAACCACTAAGAAAATGTCTACAAAATATGCAGTGAAAAAGTGAGAATCCAAATGATAATTAATTAAACACAAAAGGTGGCAGTAATGGAGGAAATGCAGAACAAAAAAGATAAAAGACATACAGAAAATAAATATCAAAATGGCAGCAGTAAGTTCTTTCTTATCAGCAATTATATTTGATGTAAATGCATTAACCTCTCCAATTAAAAGGCAAAGATTGGCAGAATGGATAAAAAACATGATCTAACTCTATGGTATATATAAGAAATTCATATAAAATCCAAAGATGCAAATGAGTTGAAAGTAAAAGAATGGAAAAAACACAATAGCCAAAATATAATCTACTTATTCTGCTGCTCCACTATATTCAATTTTTTTTTAGACAATGCTGACATTTAGGTAGAAAAAACTCAAATATTCATCTACTGATTAATGCATAAACAAAACATTATGTACAAAATATTATCCAGCCATAACTTAGGAATGAAGTACTGACATATACTGCAACATGAATAAACCTTAAAAATATGACCCTAAGTGAAAGAAGCTAGACAAAAAGACCACATATTGTAAAACTCCATTTAAAAGAAATATACGTAATTAGACATATTCATAAAGATAGAAAGCAAATTAGTGATTGCCAGGGGCTGAGAATGGGGACTGACTGCTTAAAAGACATGGATTTTCATTTCGGAGTGTGGAGAGAGTTCTGGAACTAGACAGTTGTAATGGTTGGACAACATTGTAGATATACTAAAAGTCACTGAATTATACACTTAAAATGGTTAAAATGGTGAATTTTATGTGTATGAATGTTACCCCGATCCTAATAATTTTAAATCAACAGCCATTCTTCTTTCAGTTCTTTTCTTCTAATCCATTACTTCAATCATCACCATAAAGTTCTGGAAAGCAATAATAATCAAAGTAGCTAACATTTTGTGTACTTCTTCTGTGCCATGTACTCTTTTAATCCAATGCCAACAACTCTAAGGAATAAGTAATAACATCACCCCACTTTGTAAATAGATAGTAGCATTGAGGCAAGGTCAGACAAGTAAGTAAGCAGCAGAAATGGAATATCAACTAAGGCAAAATTGCATTCTAAACTATTGTCTGTAATACTATCTTACTGGGTAAGCAGATAGTGGTAAAACTGAATGCGTATATGTTAATATTTTTCACACACCATCAGGCTATAAATTTCTAGTGTTTGGATTAGAGAATAATTTAAGGGGTAGATGCAGAGATTTGTTGAAAGTTTTCACTCTGTTCTGACACTAAACCATCTTTGGAGCAAGTGTGTCTCCAAAAAGTCTGTCACTTCTTTGAGCTCCTTCCTTTGGTGTACTCCCTTGAGGGTGGGGTAGGTAACCTTTGTCCCACTGGTCTAGGAGACTATGATGGGAAGGATTAAAGTTACCATCCATCAGAAATCTTATTGTTTTTCCCATGAGGTTCCTGGAGTCACCAGCTAGGATTTCCAGAATTTGTATTAAGTACACAGAAACTCCTACCACATGCAAAACAGACGTGTATCTCAGAGACAAAAAGCATTGGGATAGAGAGATGGGGTAGGCAGAGTGAAAAGTTGGGACTTTGTATTTAAAAGAAAAAAACTCCAACACATTTTCTGTGTAAAGAAATTATTCTGGTTTTAAATATAAATGATCAAATCAGGAAAAGACCAGGGCACAGTGGAAAGCAAATAGGATATAGAGGCTAGTGAGGCTGGAATGGAGACCAGGCTTAGACACTTATGAGCTGCATGATCTTGAGTAACTGATTAATTTCTAAGATTCCTTATTTGTAAACATGAAAGAGCACCAACTATTAGGGGTGTGAAGATTAGAAATAACAGACGTACAGATCTAAACAATGCCATGCAAAGAAAATACTGTTCTTAGGACTGTACATTACATAAATCAAATGTAAAAGGAGGTATCATTAACCCATCCCCAAGTTAGAGTCTTTCTCCGAACTTGAGGAGCTAAGCAGGATACCCTGTTGTGAATGCTTGTTGCCATGTGAGACACAATGATACAGCTTTAGAGACACCTTATAGACATTTGCAAAAGTTACTGCTATTAAGAGAAATGTAAAACATATACCAGAAAACTTATGTACCCAAAAGGCACTTTCAGAAAAAGATGTTCCTTCTAGCTGAAGAGTCAGGAGAGACCTTCTGGAAGAAGATAACTCAGATTGGCCCCAGGTGCTGAGTGTTGCAGCTGGGGCAGCAATTTGAACAAATAACAAGAGGTTGCAACGTGAGAGGCCTGAGCAGTTGAGTTTAGCTAGAGCTGAACATTCATACTTGGAAGGTAAAGAGGCAAAGAGGAAATGCATTTCAGTAAAAAGCTCTGGAAAGATTTGCCTGCCGGGTACATAAGTGTTCAAGCTTTATCCAAAAAGCAGCATTGAGAAGTTAAGCCTCAGGTAGTGGGAAGTTTAGTGAAATGGTAGTGAAATGGACTAAGGCCAGTGCACACAGAATACTCTTTCATAAACTCAGGGTTCCGTACATCTGGCCCTTCTCCATCATGAATCAAATTTCTTCAGGTCACAGGATTTTTAAAAAAATTTTGCAATTCTTAACTAAATGCATACTCAGATTGGAATTCAAAACATAAATTGGGGGATGAGTTAGACAGGCACTAAACTGTCTGGACATAAATAGTCTCCTCCCTTTCTGAGATTCTTGTTTCTAGCAAGCAAATATTCATAATTGATTGCTCCTTATTTTTATTCATGAGTCACACTTGACACCCATCTGAAACTCTTGCAGTGTCCCTGTCACTCTTCATCAGGCAGCTGAAGTGAAACACTGACTCTGTAGAAATCTGTTGTTAGCCTCTCCTCACTGCTCCCCTTCCTAAAAGTGTGTCCAGAATGAGAAAGTGTTGCTCCCAGGGGCCGAATGCAAATATCTGACCATGTAAACAAGAACTAAATTACTCCTTCTTAGTTCTCTTCTCTGTAGATTTCCTGTCCATGCATCCTTCTTTACTTGTCCTGGCTGTCCTCCTCATTTCTAATCCAGCTTCTGTAATCCTTCCACAGGTTCGCTCTCATCGACGCAGTTCATAAACCAACTCTCCTGTTTCCATGCCTGTGAGGAAAAAGCAGTACAAATAATCCAAAGGTTATTTGCTTTCAAGTTTGGAATGTCACCTTTGGTTAAAAGCAGACTCACCACTTAATTGTATTTGTTTAGTAGTATATCAACATTATTCAGCAATGCCTGAAAACCATTGGCTGGACAGTGGGACAGTGGAACAAGGAAATCATGTCATCTGCTGTGAAGCAAGGTGGACTAAGCTATAAATAAGCCACTAAGTAGATAAGCAGATATTTAAAGGCAGAATGAAAAATCGAGTACAAGGAAAATATGTTAATATGAAATCATTTGGAGGATTATGTTTTCTTTTTCAAATCAAGTTGTTAAAATACCTTTGGCTTTCCCCACTTTAAAAGGAACACAATAGACTTCCGGTTCTGAACCATCATCACACATAAGTCAGGACTGAGGAAGGTGCATCCACATGCATCTTCCCAACTGCTCCAGAGGCACTTTGACATGAACATTAGCTCATTATCTCAAAATCATCTTGTCTTAAACTGGGCACAGCATTTTCCCCTGGAAGCTAATGGCAATCTCAATGTTCCAAACTTCCTATCACTTATTCATTTCCCTCTTTAGTAATCTGTGTTGAGGGGGGACCCCATTTGCACAGGTGACTTTAGAGTCAGCAAATGCCACACAGTAAAATATAAATAATTGAACAAAAAATATATGAGATTATTCATTTGTAACTGTACGGACAGATACCCAAATGACCCTATTCTGTATGTAACTGATACAAAACAACTTATCAGTTTGAAAAGGTGATGGTCCATCTGTAAAATGCCAAAGAAATGAAAGTCAAAGAATAAGAATTAAGTATTACTTTTCCACTGCACTGTATATAATTTTCATGAGCTTCTCTGTTTTGTTTCATGCTATATCCTCAGTACATGGAGCAGTATCTGACATAGAGGAAACATTTATAAATTGCTGTCTGACTGATTAAATGGACACATAAATGAATAATTCACCGTCTGGTGAGAGCACACCAGACCTGTTCGTCCAGTCATCAGAGCTGATGACAATCTCTCTTAAAATGGGGATTGGGAACCTAGAGACTTAATAGTAACATTCATAAGGAGATATAGTAGGTGCTGTGGTGAATTGGAGACAGCATGCATCATCTTGAGGAAACAACTATTCTCCAGCTCAGGATAACTATTACGTTCTGTATTCAGGGTATGGTGTTATCAGATTTTCTGAGTTATCAGTCAGGTTAGAGAACTGTTTTTTTTTTTTTTTTTTAAATGGAGTCTCCCTCTGTTGCCCAGGCTGGAGTGCAGTAGCGCAATCTTGGCTCACTGCAAGCTCTGCCTCCCGGGTTCACACCATTCTCCTGCCTCAGCCTCCCGAGTAGCTGGGACTATAGGCACCCGCCACTATGCCCGGCTAGTTTTTTGTATTTTTAGTAGAGACGGGGTTTCACCGTGTTAGCCAGGATGGTCTCAATCTCCTGACCTCGTGATCCACCCGCCTCGGCCTCCCAAAGTGCTGGGATTACAGGCATGAGCCACCACGTCCGGCCAGAGAATTGTTTTTATCAGGTCTAGACAGGCCATCAAAATGCAAATTTTTGGCCATTATCTGAAGGACAATATTCCCGTAACAAATCTAAAAGTGATTCAATAGTGTTAAGAGTATGCTGAGATAATCTGAAATAAAAATCATATTTCAATATAATACTCCAGTAATTATTTTCCAGAATAGAGACCAGTTTTCATCCAATCCATCATAAAACTTCCACTATTAGATTAAAACTTAAACTGGCTTCTGGCTTCCAAGGCTTAGACATTTCCTTAGAAAATTTTTGAATTACATAAGATTCCTATGCCTATTTCTCACTTAGCCTGGGGGGGCTCCATGAGGCCCATTGTACTCATATTCAGGGTTGTCAGTGCACCCAAAGTAGGATACAATCGAATATTGATATGCATAAGCCAAACTATTCACAGAATAATTTTTAAGTTAAAATTGAATCCTTTTTTTTTTTTTTTTTTTTTGAGACAGTGTCTCGCTCTGTCGCCCAGGCTGGAGTGCAGTGGCACTATCTTGGCTCACTGCAAACTCCACCTCCTGGGTTCAAACAATTGTTCCCCCTCAGCCTCCTGAGTAGTTGGGATTACAGGTATGCATCACCATGCCCGACTATTTTTTGCAGTTTTAGTAGAGATGAGGTTTCACCATGTTGGCCAGGTTGGTTTCAAACTCCTGGCCTCAGATGATCCACCTGCCTCCACCTCTCGAAGTGCTAGAATTACAAGCATGAGCCACTGGGCCCTGCCAAAGTCATTTATTTAATAATGAGGAAGGCAAACACATACACATGCACATTATGCACAAACACACCACTATTAACCAGAATGTCCTTTTCATCCCTCATTTCAGGAGCATATATCAGAAGAAGCTAAAAACAATAAGTGGGTCAGGGTCCCAGGAAGAGGTAGATGGCACATGGAAAGTAGAACTCAAAGAGCATGGTGGTTATAAGTCTGTTTAGACCGTTAGGATCAGGATTTAGGGTTGATGATGGAATAAAGAAGCATCCAAGAAATTTCAACACAATATCATAATGGCAAGTATTCCCAGTGCTCAGCCTGAAAGGCCGAGGGGAGAGAACTGTGACCAGAACCTGATGGGAGCTGCAGTCCTGGAAGAGAGGCCACCTGACAGCGGCTGCAGTTGTAGATAGGGGAAAGCAGTCTGACCTCTCCTTCTGCCCCCCAACCTTCTGCTGGGGCATTCCAACCTCTACCACATTGGCCAAGAGCAAGTGAAAACTTTAGGTGAGGAAGCACTAACTTATAGTCGGAGGACGGCAACCTCCGATGGCACAGAGCAAGGCAGAGAAGGGTGGAGAGGAGATCTGGACGGGCAAATGGAAACTATTTAGCCCACAGAGTCAGAGCTCACAGAAATCCTAAGTAATATATTATCAATGCCATGGAAGAATGAAGAGATGATTCCTTCCTCAGAAGGCTCCTATCCTCCTAAATTCAGAATCCCTCTCCCTTTGACAGTGCTGACAAAAGTTCATATTCTCCAACTCATCTTTTTATTTATTATTGTTATTATTTGAGACAGGGTCTCACTCTGTCACCCAGGCTAGAGTGCAGTGGCATAATTATAGCATGCTGGCCCCTCAAACTGCTGGGCTCAAGGGTTCTTTCTGTCTCTGCCTCCTGTGTAAGCTAGGACTACAGCCACATGCTACTACTATGCCCAGCTATTTTTTTTTTTTCATTTTTTGTAGAGATGGAGTCTTGGTGTATTGCCCTGGCTTGAGGCCAGGTCTTGAACTCCTGGCCTCAAACAATTCACCCACCTTGGCCTCCCAAAGTCCTGGGATTACAGGGATGAGTCACTATGCCTAGCCCAACTCATCCTTTATGACTTGGTCCAGGCCAACTCATTTCTGCTAACACCTCTCTTTAGGCACATCTTAACTTAAGTGACTCCTTACTGGTTTCCAAAGTCATTCTATTTCTGAGCTAAAGTTGAGATTAGACTCTCATTACTCTCATTACCTAGATAAGGCTTGGGCATTCTTAAGGTTTCTCAGTCACATATCACAGTTCTGAGGTGATTGTCTGCAGATAGCTGCCATAAACGTTTGAATTTTTTCTCATTTCACTCTCAGATCTCTATGTTCTTATGGGGGAAGTGGAGCCCACTATAGCTTTTAATGTTTTTCTGATATTATCTGTGGCATTTTTCTAAACCTCCCTTTCTCCCTTTAAAATAACAGGGCATGGCATGATTTTGTCAACAATAGTATTGACTGAATAAAGAGCAGGTGAACTTTGTTCATAAAGCTTCTTTCTATGTTTGTGAGAGAGATCTATGGGAGTTAACAGTCCAGTTAGGAAGTTTCTGTTTACAAAGTCACATAAAGCTGAATGTCACTTAAAGAAGTCCAAAGCAAGGGTGAAACGGGATTAATTAGATTTGGATTTGGGAATAGAAGGCACATATTTGAAAAAAAAGAGAATTTTGTTTGCAAAAGAAGCACACAAACTGTATGAATTGGGCAGCAAAACTTAACCTGAAAAAGAGTGAAATAACAATTTGTCAAGGCCAAACTAAGTAATTTTTATTTGCTAGTACAAGCACCAAGAAGTCCATGGAGTAAGGCATTTAAGGAAGCTTTTCTAAAGTTAAAAGCTATATGATTATCTATGTTTAGAAGACAGAAGTGAAGCCAGCTGGACTTCCTGGGTTGAGTGGGGACTTGGAGAACTTTTCTGTCTTACAAGAGGATTGTAAAATGCGCCAATCAGCACTCTGTAGCTAAGATTGTAAAACGCACCAATCAGCACTCTGTAACTAGCTAGAGGTTTGTAAAATTCACCAATCAGTGCTCTGTTAAATGGACCCATCACCACCCTGTGAAATGGATGAATCAGCACTCTGTAAAATGGGCCAATCAGCAGGACATGGGCAGGGACAAATAAAGGAAAAAAGGCTGACCATCCCAGCCAGCAGCAGCAGTCCACTTGGGTCCCCTTCTACGCTGTGGAAGGTTTGTTCTTTCGCTCTTCAGAATAAACCTTGCTGCTGCTCACTCCTTCCATCTGTGCCACCTTTAAGAGCTGTAACACTCACTGAGAAGGTCCACAGCTCCATTCTTGAAGTCAGTGAGACCACAAACCCACCTGAGGGAACCAACTCCAGACACAGAAGTATAATGGTAATGGTTGGGCCCTAACTTGTGGTGGTCAGTCTGGAGATGGAAAGAAGGTGTGGGTCTCTCTGTTATGTCTAGTGCACAGAGGATGTTAAGGATGAGATAACAGCAAATGACTGCATGGTTTCAAGAGGAAACAAATAAAGTTGTTAATGACTTGAAAACAATGGAAAATTAAGAAAAAACATCAAGTCGTAGAGTAGAAAAATTGCCAACTTTAGTTTCTGACTTGTCTGTCCAGGTTTAGGTTTTTGTAATTAATCTAAGTGAACTTTTCAATAGAAAACTGAAGCTTCCTAAC